TTGATAACTGCATGTATACAAAAGATATCGACCACTTAGTATAAGAGTGTTATTTAAACAATTTAATATTGATTGTGAAGTAAATGAGCCATCAACCTTATTTTTTTCTGAAAAAATTAACTGAAAATTTCAAAGAAACTAACCAATTTTATTTGGTATCACACGAAAAGTGTGTTTCAAAATACAAATTATTCATCAAATATTTATTATAATATTTGTGTACATTTGATCGATATTTTAATTAATTAACCACATTATTACTCTCAATTATATTAATGTTACGAAATTATAAAGCAAAGCTCTTTTTTTTTCGACAATGTTTCACTCGTTTGTCTTCTAGCCTAATCATATCCAATGCAACTGAAGAATTTTGCAGTATACATACAGACACACGTCTACGGTGTAGTGTAACGTTTGAGTATTTCTCGCGTTAATAAAAGTTCGGACTCTTTACAGTGAATTCGCAATGACGTTTCCGAAAAAAGCAAGAATTTGACACGCGCGCAATCTAAATGATCAAAAAAAAAAGAAATCTTTCGAGTGGAAAACCACGAGGCTTTCCAACTCGATGAGTTGTTTTCGAGATGCGATTGAGAGCAATTGCATCTATCGGGGAAAGGCCCGACAGCGCCGCAATTACTGCTCAATCCGATCTCTTAACAGCAAGTGTATTTCGGAAGGGAAGATCTCTAAGGCTGCTTTTTTCTCATGAGAGAAATAGTCTCATGAGTTGAGCTCTTAGAGATCGTTAAGGAAGGAGTTTAACAGACTAACCACTGAAAAGAAATTCGTCTCAGGAAATAGCTGAGGCTTTATTTCAATAACAGTGCTCGCGCTGCTAAGCAAGGTAGGAAAGTGAGTCCTTTTGCCGCAGCGACGAGCGAATTTATACATGCGAAATGGGCTCCTTTCTACGCTTGGTAGCCCCTACAACGCTATTTTTGTTCTTGACGCAAATTTTATACTCGTTTTATCGCAAAATGGCTCGAACGAATTTACAATTATGCGATTTAAAAAATTAATCTGGAAAAGATGAATTTTTTAGTATAAATTGCATCTCTAGGAAAAATTGCGTCTTAAAGTTATAAGCTATACAATTTAATAATCAATTTACGCCATTTTTACAATAAAATTATGGAAAATTTTTACATGGAAAAATCGCTTGTGGTTAGAAGATTATTATCCATATAAAAGATGATTAATGTTGCTCTCCAATTTTGAATGATAATTAAAAAACAGATTTGCAATTTTCTTTTTTAGCGGTTTAAAAATCAGCAAATTAGTAACAATCACAATCATCAATTTTACAGATACTTATGATCGATTTTCTATCTAACCGTGTCATTTTAATTGTTTAAAAAAAATTATAAATTGTTTATTTATTGATAACTCAGTTAATAATGGGTTATCAAAGTGTCAAATTCTTGCTTTTCTGTTTTAATATGTCGAGATTGTAATCGCGTACTTGAAATAACAATATCGTTGTTTATTGCAAAATAACTAACAATGTTAACTTGTAAATTAGATTTGACTAACAAATATCGATTTGAGAGTTAAATTAACATGAAATTCAGGATCAGCACCTCAAATTTAACTAAGAAATACTTTTGTTCGTTTAAAAAAGCTTATAATTAACGATTTTCTGTTGTAAACAATAAATTTTCCCACGGTCGTGACGTCACGCTCCTTATATGGTAATGTTTTCGCAGAGTTACCCTAACACATTTGCATATACGTGTGAAAAGCGCCTACGCTCAATTACCGATTTTCTCTAATTGTCTCGAGTATGACGGGTTGCCGTTTTGCAGAGGAAAATCGGAGACAAATCAGACAGGACCGTTACAGTAGGTACCTCTACATTTACATCTTTTATTTCCAGATATAAGAATTACCTGTTAAACGACGAGAGAAACTGTAATAAGTATTCAATAACTTTTAAATTACGGTGTGTATGTATGAAAGTGCAAATGATAGACTTGTATGGCTACGTCTACAATGTCTTAGTGTAAATGTGTACATAGTAAATGTCTTAATATAAATATATTAATAAAATATAATAATACTGATAAATATCTACATTAAGCAAACTCATGTAGATGCACAGGCGTACATACTGTAGACGTAGTCATACTAGCCTATCATTCACAATGGATCACAAATATACAACCACACGCACGACCGTACATTAACACGTTCACCCAATGGAGTTACGTAGTGAATGAGTACAAAGCCAGAAATACGAGGTCTGTCCGGAAAGTATCAGGCTTACGTTTATATCTTCGCACCATAGTGTTCGAGCGACTTCTACCGGACAGAAACGTCAACAGTAAAGCCTCACGAATCTATTGGTTACTTACTGACACTTGCCGGACGTTTAGTTCATGCGCAGCGTGTCTTTGTTTACAGTGCCTTTTTCGCGTTCGTCGGATTTTGATATTATCAAAAGTGACTGAAAACAAGATCAATGAATTTGCATCAAATTTTGCTTTCAACTCGGAAAAACGAGTTCGGAAACTATTGAAATGATGCAAAAGGCCTTCGGAAGCGAGTATATGAGCAAAACACGAATAAAAGAGTGGTATAAACGGTTCAAGGATGGTCGCACTTCTGTCGATAGTGATTCTCGTTCCGGTCGACCTTCGACGATAAAAACCGTAGATAATATTGAGCGGGTGCGACTTGCAATCGAACAAGATCGTCGTATGACTGTGCGAGAACTAGAAGATCTTGGGATACCAAAAATTATAATTTCAGAAATTTTAACCGAAAATTTAGGAATGAAACGCGAGTGTGCGAAATTCATCCCAAAATTTCTCACAGCAGAGCAGAAGAACATTCGCTTAGAAATCGCTCTGGACAATCTGGAAATGGTCAATAATGATGATAACGTGTTTAGAAAAGTTATTACAGGTGATGAATCATGGGTTTATGGTTATGATCCTGAAACAAAACAACAATCTTCACAGTGGAAGAATTCTGAATTGCCCAGACCAAAAAAAGCACGTTAAAGTCGGAGCAATGTTAAGTTAATGTTGATTGTTTTTTTCGATTGTGAAGGTGTTGTACATCACGAATATACACCAACAGGTCAGACAATCAATAAAGAATACTGCGTTCAAATTTTGAAACGTTTGCGTGATGCAGTAAGAAGAAAACGGCCGCACTTTTGGGAAAGTGGTGACTGGCTTCTCCACCACGATAATGCGCCAGCGCATTTATCCAAACTTATGCAGCAGTTTTTGAGGAAACACAATATCGTATTGCTTCGATAACCTCAATACAGTCCCGACATAGCCCCTTGTGACTTTTGGCTGTTGCCAAAACTAAAAAAACCACTCAAAGGACACCGATTCGATGACAAAACAACGGTTGAAAACAATGCGACGAGTGTACTTAAGGCTATCCCTAAAAGTGAGTTCCAGGACTGTTTTGAAAAGTGGAAACATCGAATGAACCATGCTATTCAATCAAGTGGGGATTACTTTGAAGGATGCCACCCACCAGATGATAAAGAATAACGTTAGCACGAAAATATAAAGGTAGGCCCGATACTTTCCGGACAGACCTCGTACATACACACACGTTACAAAGTTTACTTCGCCATGGTGAGCGCGCTCGCTCAGCCCTTTTCGCAATCAAATTTGGCGGGATCCCGCGAGCGAAATCGCTCAGCCTGCGCGATACAGTTTGCTTAAAATCCACGGATCTGCAACCGAGCGAGAGCTGACGCGACAGAGATACAAATAGGGTTTGACCCACCAGGCACCGACAGTCCGTCAGTGGAGACACGACGCCGGCGGAAACGTAGTCCAGCTAGGAACGGCGCCCTGGCGATGATGGATACTGCTGCAGGAAGGGCCGCAGCACGGCCTTTGCCTCTTTGACGCGGAATTATCGCTGCTCAAGGTTGTTTATCTGCAGACAATTCCCTTTTCCTATCGGTCGTAACAGCGGGGCACTTGCTATATCAATTGGCTTGTAGGAATCATAGTCCGATCCCCCTTATGCACAAAACGGTTGTAATTGCTTAATTTACACTTATTTTTCTCAGTCATGCGCTGCCGTACTCCCACTTCATCCGCAGCCAAAAATCGGCTGATATCGCTCTCTCTCTCTCGCTCTCGCTCACACTCGCAGCGACACCTCACCGACTGTCGCGCTCCTCTCTCTCGGTCCTGCAACGACACAAGCATGTAGCCGTTATATGGCACACGCTCGGTCACTGCGCTCATGTAAGGAGAGTGCCGCGTACAGGGCCAACGTACTCGCTGTAGCCCTGCCACAAAATAATAAAAATTTACGAATTTATTGGTACTTAAATAAAATGAAACATTATGTTATTCACACTTTCAGGTTAGAATTACTCAAAAACCCGACGTGATAAAACAACTCTGATCCCAGATTCAGTTTCTATACCTAGAATTACTCCGAAAGACTATCGGTCTTTTCATACAAGTACAACCTTATATTATGTAGGTTTTTGTAATTTTTTTGTTTTGTAAACAACATCAGTTGTTGGATACATATCTTTCTTACTTGTTTAGGAACTTCTAACTTGAGTAAATGATAAACGTTTTCATTCTTAACCTCTGAATCATGCAGAAATATGACAGTAGTTCTATGGACTATTCGACATTGTATATTGTGTTTTTAATAAAAATAATACGCCAATATTTTATGTAATTATTTTCGTTTTGAAAACAGATATCAGTAAAAATACTGATAAAACATAATTTTATCAAGCATTTATCTTTCTTATTTTGCAGATACATCAAAATGCTTTTTCAACAGTGCAAAATTGTTTCATTATGAAAATTATGGAACTTAAATATATATATATATATATATATACATATAAATAAGATTTATTATATATGAATAAGATATAGAAAGTATAAGAACGAGAATGAAAATACAAATGAAGATAACAATGTCTTTTTTATTATTATACAATTTGGATTGACTTTTTTCGCGTACAATACTTTAAATGATTAAACAGATTAAAAATGTGGTGGCCAAGACCATTGATTAACTACAACTCTATTAATTGGAGATTCCCAGCATTTCCATTCTAGTATATTTCTTACTAATTGTAATTCTTTTTCAGCCTGTAAGCATAGATCTTCAATTTTCCCAGAATTAATTTTTTCTTCAATTTCTTCAATAGAATTCATCTGAAAATTAATGTTCTGACGGAGTAAATAAAATATAAAATTAAAATAAGTATTCATACAGAGTATTTGATTGTTAAATTATAAGAAATAATGTTGTAATTATTGATCGTCTATTAGAAAATAATATAGTTATACAAAATTATACGGAATGCTGTCTATAATATTAAAATAGATAAGAAGGAAAGTAAAGGAAAAAATAATATTATGATATTGAAGTCCACCTGTGTTATATATCAATTCTTTTTTAAAAAAGTGATCATTTGGGAAGTGAAAGTAGTTTATTTGTGATTTAATTGGCGAAAGGATCGTCACGTGGTAGTAGATAAGCAATGTATGTTCTGGGACATAAAGGAGCCGACAAAGGATGCCGCCAATGTATAAGGGATACGTGTATGTTCTGGGACACAAAGTACCGCCTGATGAAGGTGTCACGGTAGTGACACCTTTTAATTTATGGTCAGACTCCATGCTGAATGTCTAAAAGGCATTTGTTGTACCTTTGACACCTTCCACGTGCCAGTGGGCCCCATGCTAAGTGTTGAAAGGGCATTTGATGTACGTTTGACACCTCCCGCGTGCCGCCAATGTATAAGGGATATGTGTATGTTCTGGGACACAAAGAGGCCGCCCGATGAAGGTGTCGTGGTAGTGATACCTTTTAATTTAAGGTGAGACCCTATGCTAAGTGTTTAAAGGGCATTTGATGTTCGTTTGACACTCCCCGCGTGCCAATGGGCCCCTTCAACAGAGCCCCTCCCCCCTACCCTCACCCGCCCAACTACAGAGGTTGTTAAGGTAAGATGCTGTCGAAGTCGGTAGGGTTTTTGGTAAACTATATGATGGTCTCTCACTCTCTCTATCCCTCTCTCTCGCTATCCTTCGATAGTAGGGCGCTTATGCTGGCTGAGCGTGGACCCTCGGAGAGGGGGTAGCGTGTCTAGCTTGCTAGGCGCGTACACCGTATATTGTGTGAATGCTGTTTTCTCTCTCTCTCTCTCTCTATCCCTCTCTCACTCTCCTTAGATAGTAGGGCGCTTATGCTGGCTGAGTGTGGACCCTCGGAGAGGGGGTAGCGTCTCTAGCTTGCTAGGCGCGTACGCCGTATAGTGTGGATGCCGTTCTCTCTCTCTCGCTCTCCTTAGTAAGCTTATGCTGGCTGAGTGTGGGCCCTCAGAGAGGGGGTAGCGTCTCTAGCTTGCTAGACGCGTACGTCGTATAGTGTGGATGCCGTTCTCTCTCTCTCTCGCTCTCCTTTGATAGTAGGGCGCTTAGTAAGCTTATGCTGGCTGAGTGTAAGCCCTCGGAGAGGGGGGTAGCGTTTCTAGCTTGCTAGGCGCAGCCACCACCCACCCACCCACCCACCTCCCACCTTTCGTCTGACTACCCTCTCTTCAACCTACAGCGCCGAAACCGCTGCTTTCAGCGCCACCATAGTGCTTAAAAGCCGTGCTCGATTGGAAAAGAGCGCAGTCTTTCGAGACAGCCCGCTTCACTAGCTTTCTTAGCAGCGACAAGCAGTAGTAGTAGTAGTAGTAGTACTAGTAGTAGTAGTACTAGTAGTAGTAGTAGTAGTAGTAGTAGTAGTAGTAGTAGTAGTAGTAGTAGTACTAGTAGTAGTAGTAGTACTACTAGTAGTAGTAGTAGTAGTAGTAGTAGTACTAGTAGTAGTAGTAGTAGTAGTACTAGTAGTAGTAGTACTAGTAGTAGTAGTAGTAGTACTAGTAGTAGTAGTAGTAGTAGTACTAGTAGTAGTAGTATTACTAGTTATCCTACGTGCATTTTCATTACAATGGCTTCTATTTCTTCTTTTGAAAATACGAGGTGTGTTCAAAAAGTAACGAGAATTTTTAAATTTCGCGGGTTTGGAGAGTCCGCTTGTATAAAATTTTTTTTATTATGTTGGTACACATGCCCCTGAAGTACGATAAAATTTTCAGCAATATTCATTGCTTACTTTTTAAGTAGCAGCCGCTAACGTTAGACGTGTTTTTCGAGCTCGGCGATTTTCGTTTGTGAAAAAAAATGGATCAAAGAATTTGTATTAAATTTTGCGTAAAAAATGAAATAAAGTGTAGTAAAGTTTGTCAAATGTTAACAAAGGCATATAGTGAGTCTGCTATGAGTAAAGCAAGGATTTATGAGTGGTATAAGCGTTTCCAAGATGACCACGAAAACGTTGAAGATGACGAACGACCCGGACGCCCAAGCACATCAACAACCGATGAAAACGTGAAAAAAGTGAAAGAAATGGTTATGAACGATCGCCGAATCACAATCAGAGAAGTCGCTGATGATGTTGGCATATCAGTTGGCTCATGCCATCAAATTTTTTCGAATGTTTTGGGTATGAAGCGTGTGGCAGCAAAATTCGTTCCAAAATTGTTGAATTTCGAACAAAAACAGCGGCGAATGGAAGTTGCTCAGGAGTCGCTAAATGAAGTCAATAACGATGTAGAACTACTAAAACGTGTTATAACAGGTGACGAAACATGGGTTTACGGATATGATGTCGAAACTAAGGCTCAATCGTCCCAGTGGAGGCATTCTGGATCGCCAAGACCGAAAAAGGCTTGACAAGTACGGTCGAATGTGAAGGTTATGCTCACTGTGTTCTTCGATTTTAATGGCATAGTGCATTATGAATTCTTGCCACAAGGTCAAACAATCAATAAGCAGTACTACCTACAAGTTCAACGTCGTTTGCGTGAAGCAATCCGAAAAAAACGCCCGGATTTGTGGCAAAACAATTCATGGCTTTTGCACCACGATAATGTGCCTGCTCACACTTCATTGCTTTTTCGTGAATTTTTGGCCAAAAACGAAACTGTAACGATGCCTCAGCCTCCATATTCGCCAGATATGGCTCCATGTGACTTTTTTCTATTTCCAAAAATAAAGAGAACATTAAAAGGCCGTCGTTTTACAAGCATAGATGACATTAAAAGCGAATCGCTGAAAGAGCTAAAAGCTATTACAAAGATCGAGTTTCAAAAGTGTTTCGAGGATTGGAAAAAGCGTTGGCATAAGTGTATTGTATCCGAAGGGGACTACTTTGAAGGCGACAACATTAATGTAGATGAATAAATAAATATTTTTTTCATAAAACGAAAATTCTCGTTATTTTTTGAACACACCTCGTACAGTACGTGATTTATGGAAAGCCTATTACAACTCAGACGCTAATAAGGATGATTTTATTAGATGGAACAAAATAATAATTACCGCTTTGAATTCTCTTGAAGAATATATGTTACGGCCTAACTTAAGTAGAGCAATACGACAGAGATGTCAAACATGCGCTACTCATTTCAATTCAATCGAAATTAATTTAAATAATTCCATAAAAGTTGGAGGAAATGTTAATTCATTACGAGTCATTCCAAACCAAATTGAAGGGGACGGAGTTATTTGGCGTGAAATAAATTCAGCATTTGAAAAACGTATCATTACTGCATTCATAGCCAATCAAGAACATACAGATATAAAGACATTCTTAAAAGCAGCAAATAAACTATTACAACTACAAATACCAAAATATCTTTCAATTCATAATGCTCTAAAAATAAATATAGAAATGTCAGCTTAATTTATCGTAATAAAAGATAATGTAGAGGATATTCAAGTGAAGTATTTCAACACCGAAAATGTTTCTATTTATAGAACGACAGATCTTAAATTATGATTTACAGAAAATATTGAAGATGTTATACTTAAAAATTTAGAAGAATTTCAAGAAAAAGATTCCGGTTGGACATTAAAAACTATCATCGGTGTTCCTGTTAATATAAATAAATTTAATCCTTTCAAACCTGGCTCATATATTCAACTACTAAAACAAGTAGCAGATAAAAAAGCAATTATCAACGTTCAAAATACAGATAATGAATGTTTTAAATGGGCTGTGCTTGCCTGTCTTCATTCAGCTAGATTTCATAGCGAAAGAGTTCAAAATTATATGCCCTTTGCGAATGAATTGAAATTCGATGATATAAACTTTCCTGTTGAGGTAAAGAATATTCCTAAATTTGAAAAATTAAATAGTATTTCAATAAATCTATACATACTAAAAAAATACGGTTTTAAATTCGAAGTCTCACCATATTATATATCAACTTTAAAACAAGATAAGCATGTAAATCTTTTGTTACTACAAAGCGATTATATTGATGAGAATGAAACAGAGAAATCTAATAGATCAAATAACAATGATAATTTCAAATTAAAATTCCACTAAGTATGGATTAAAAACTTATCTGCTCTTGTTAGAAATCAAGTAACGAAACATACTGCAAAAAATTTATCTATGTGAACGTTGTCTCCACTATTTTAATAATAAAGAAAAATTGAATATTCATGAGACAGATTGTTCAAAATTAAATAAATATAGAGTTAATCTACCTAATTTTCCTCTTCTGAAATTTAATCATTATGATCGAAATGAAATGGTTCCGTTTATTATCTATGCTGATTTAGAGTGCTTATTGAAACCAGTAAATAATGGACGATCTTTCCAAGATCATGAAGCCTTTAGTGTGGGGCTTTATATAAAATGTAGTTATGATGATTCCAAATCAGCCTTTAAGATGTTGCAACGATTACCGAAAATTGTTTCGACTCGCGTAGGTTACGAAGCGGCTGAGCGTAGCAGCCGCGATCGGTTTGAGAGAGAGAGGGCGCGTAGGGGCAATGACCGGGAGGGGAGAGTTCGTTAGCCAGTATGACTGTGTCACTCAGTACGGCTAGATCTTAGCTACGGTTTTTGTGCTGCCAACGCATTGGACATTTTTGAGTGAGATCCGGGAAGCCAGGGTTCATCGTTAAAGAGTGCTGCAGTGGGTGTGCACATAGCGAGGCGTGTGCAGTGGCAACAAGTGTCGATAAACAGTGCGGTGCAAGGAGTTCGCGCACTGTTCAACGTGCGTGGCTCTGACACCTGCGATACTAATAGCGAGTGGAGTGCCGAGTGCGCGCATTGTCCAACGTGCGCGACCTCGGCAGTT